GAGTCTTCATGCCATAATCCACCTCTAGTCCCAGCTGGCCCACATCACAGGCATGATGCACATCTCATGCAGGCAGGGAGGTCTTAGGATGCAAACTGGGGAAATTCCTATGTGGACCCAGTTGTGCTACTGCTGTGCCAACCATCTTTGACACCAACAAATAAACTTCTTAAAGAAAATTTGATAGCTTTCTCTTTTAGGCCGAAGATTAAAAAAATTTCTCCACATGCATTCGAGAACTCTGCAGAGTATTAATAGATATCTCTGATTAAAAAAAATACAGAATCAAACAAATTTTGTATCTATTAGAATAAACAAAGGTCAGTTGCTTCATGAGAGAACTTTTAAATTTTATGTATTAAGAAAATGTACAAAGCAATGTGTGAAAAACACTGGTATTTTAAGCACTTACATGCTATAAATTGATTTAACTTTTAGCCAGTAAACACTGTCTATATGGAATGATAATTTTATTTTATTTTTAAATTTTTTTTAAATTTTTCAGAGGCTGCATGCACTTGCCAGAGACAGAGGGAGCAAACACTCTCCAATGGGGCGTGATCACAGCACAATCCCTTCTCTATTTATCCATCCTGTTGGGATTGGAAGCATGAACATAGATATGCCCTGAGTATTTCTCAAGCTACTGGGGCTGAGATTTGAACTATGTGATTAATCACGTGGAATATGGTTCCCTTAACCATTAGGCTATAGAGCCAGCCCATGGTACAGTTTCCAAATTGTCATTTAATCCAAAACAAAGTTCATCCAAGACAATGTGTTTGAAGATATTTCACATATCATGGAATGATTAAAGACATACACAGGGAACTCAAACATGAAAATAGGTGTTAAACCCTTAAGTAGATGAAAATCTCCATATGTGGCCTAAATATTATACTTTAATGTAGTTCCAGAAAATAATACTTTTATGTGAAAGAAACTCAAAAACTTGCTGTTAATTATTATGGCTTAAATATATTCTAGCATCATAATTGATTAATCTTGTTCACTTTTTATTTTTAAATTTTATTAGAGGACACATGCATTCACCTGAGAGAGACAGAAGGAAATTAAGAACACACCCTCCATGGGAGTTGGTAATGCTGCAGTCCTTTCTCCTCTGTTTCTCCTTTTGGGATTTTGGTAACACTCACACACTTGCTTGGCATGTTTTCAAGTCTCTGGGTTCAGGACTTAAATAGCATATTTGGCCATGTGGGATTTAGCGCCTTAACCATCATGCTACTGGGTGACCTCAGCCTTGTTGACATTTTAACCATGAACTTGAATAAATAAGAACTGCAATACTTATACAGATGTTAGGTACAAAAAAAAAAAAAAAAAGAAAAGAAAGAAAGAAAAAGAAAGAAAGAAAGAAAGAAAAAAGTAAAGGGAAAAAAGAAAGAAAAACACAAAACAGTAATATATTGAGAACAATCATTCTTCACAGTATTATCTATGAAAGCAGGACATATTTACAACTGAAAAGCCAATAATCTTTCTTCTACATCAGGGAGATGCAGCATTTTGACATTTTTTATGAAACCATTTCAAAAAGTTCATGAAAAAATGAAATTAGAGTATGATTTAAAGTATTATTTGGTACAAAAATTTTGAAACCTATGCATAGTTTTCTTTCTTTTTTTTTTGGAGAGGCTTTTGCGTGCGCTTGCCAGACAGACAGCGAGAGACACAGTGAGACAGAAAGTGAGCAGTCACCCCCCCCCCAGGGGGCATGGCCACGTCGCAATCCCTTCTCCTCCGTTTTCCTCTTGGGATTTTGGGCACTCACGCACACGCGCCCAGCATGAGTTTTAAGCCACCGGGTCCGGGATGCCAACAGCAGTTGACTACATGGGAGTCCAGTGACATAGCCACATAGCCTTTATGCTAACTATTGGTCCTGCATAGTTTTCTCATAATACACATGTCTGTGAAGTTTTTGAAGACCCTTATACATTGTCATTTTATTCTATTTTACTTTCTTTTGTTTCTGTTTTGTTATTCCAAGACATTGTCTCTTATGTTTTCACCATGGGTGATGGCAGCAGTGTGCTGTGATGTAGGTATCTAGTTGTGCATGTGTGCACGTTTGCATATGTGCACCTATGAAGATATATAGTTAGACGGTCTATCAAAAGACAACCAGCCTCTGAATGTTAGAGAGCGAACTTGTCCTTCCTCATATCTCAACTTTGTTCTCTTTGTTCCTCCCAATTATTCTAAGATCAAATCTGTACCACTTATGGATAATCACCAACATAAATCGAAGACTCACAAGAAGAGTAGATCTTCATGTTAGCTTAAGGGAGAACTTGTTTAGGTATTAGCTTTAGTGCCCAAATTCACATAATCAACTCATTTAAAATAAACTCTGAGTTTATAAGGGTTTTAAACAGAAAGGCAAGAAAATTGAAAACAGAAGTGCTTAGAGAAAACTGATTTACCATTAAAAAGTTTATTCATAACCTTTTCAGATCTACCATTTTCTCCACCACCTTCACTGAATAAGAAAAGTCACATGAATGACAGAAGCAAGAAATCTTGATTTTTTGCTCTTTGTTATAGTATAAGCAGTGATTCGTTAAGTCGGCATTTTCTCCACAAAATAACATTGGCTCCTATATACTAATATTTAGTTTCCTTCCATCCTCTTTGTAAATCACAGTTCCTTGTAGAGCTACCTAAGATTTCTTTGTTGTTTTCCTGCTTAAAAAAAAAAAGTAACCACTTTTTTATTAATTTAAAAAAGGAAAGAAAATGCCTTGGGGTGTATTTGCATAGTGTGGAGAGAGAGAAAAAAAGACAGAAAGCTCCCCCATGGGAATACTCATGCCACAATCCCTTCCCCTTCCATTTCTCCCTCTTCTCAGGATTTTGGGCAGACACACATGTCTGCAGTGTCTCCCAAGCCACTGGGTCTGGGACTCAGACCACACAATTGGCCATGTGAGATATAGCCACCACAACCACCAGATTACAGGCCAGTCCCAGGATAAATTTTTGAAGAATCCCATTGTCTCAAAATTTTGAAAGAATGAAATGGAATGACATGTTTGTCTATGAAATTGGTTAGTAATATAAATTATTCTATGACCTAGTAATACGTTAAGGCATAGGACCCAAGGTGCTTGGCTCTATAGTACATATAAATAAAAATTACCTAATGAATTTATAATTTCATAATATTTAGTAAATTGTTCATAGTGAGTAAAAGTAAAAAGGGGGGACAGCAGGTGGCAAAGTGGTTAAGGAGCTGGACTCTCACATGCTAACCGTGATTCAAGTACTGGATCCAGTGGCTTGAAAATCACACAGGGCATACATGTATGCACACCCAAAATCCCAAGAGGAGATTACAGCATGGCTATCCCCACTTGGGAGTGATTTCTCACGTTCTCGCTCTCTCTTTCTCTGGCAAGTGCCCATGGCTTACAGCAAAAAAGACTATAAAAAACATAGGAACCAGCAGATGGCACAGCAGTTACATGGCTGGACTCCCACATGATTGACCATAGTTCAAGTCCTAGAATCAGTGACTTCAAAATCACGCTGTGCAAGTGTGTGTCCATGCCCAAAATCCCAGGAGGAGAATGGAGGAGAAGGGATTGAGGGGTGGCCATCCTCTCCCACGGGGGCAGGTGATTTCTCACTCACTTTTCCTGTCACTGTGTCTCAGTCTCTATGGAGAGTGCTTACACCCTAAGGCAAAAACCTCTCAAAAAATGTACAAAAGGTCTTCAGTTAAGCCCTATTTGTCAATATTCTTTGCTAAAACTCGGTAGGTTGAAACATAATATCTTGATAAAAAGTAATGTATTAGAAAACATTTTACCCTTAATCCTAAAATATTCAATATGGCTATATTATTCAGCTTTTATCATTCTTAAATTCTAGAGAAATTTATGTTCTGTTAGAATATCAGAAGTAGAAATAAAACATTCTGTGTTAATATTTTTAGTTAGAAATTGCTCATGTAGATATCAGAGTATTAAACTGTTAAATAACAGAAAGGTTAAATAACTTTCAATGTGCATCAACAGACAAGGTAAGTGTGGGGAAATCCAGGAAGGAGAAATCTCCAAGGTACATTTATTGTACATCACCAAAATATGCAATGCTATCGTACTTCCAGATTAATAGAAAGGTATCTGTTCCTATTTTTTACATATTTAGTGGATCTTTTAATTGCAAAGTTCCTCCAAAGAAACTTCTATTTCTAAAACTAGTAAGAAAAAAATATAAAAAATACGCTTTGTCCAGAATGTGTCTGCCTTACTTTTGAGAGCACTTGTATATCTGAGGTCTTTCCTTTTCAGTAGGGTGCCTGCCTTTTGAGAGCACTATCAGTGATTAGTACAAACTTGATTCAAATTTCTGACAACTACATGAAAAACTGGGGAGCTGTATGCTGTTATCACACCCACGATACCATACCCTTGAGTAAACCAATCATTACGGTACTTAAGAAGAGAAGGACAGACTATATATAGCCAGTGAAGAAAATATAGTCTGCTGCCTATTTTATTTTATTTTTTGTAACATACATAAATAAAAAAATACTAGAATATATCTAGGCTCATTTATTTCCGTAGCTTTCACACTACAATGACACTGTGAGTAGCTGCAACAGAGACTCTACCGCGAAGCCTGAAATGTGTTTTATGTGGCCCTTTACAAAAAGAGTTTACTGACACAGAGTTAAAGGATGCTCTGTGGATTAAATCATATTTGAACCAATTACTAAAAATGTGACTCTGAGTAATCTCTAACGTTGTTCCTGATTGTAAGTTACGTCTGTGAGTAGACAGTAGCAAACATTTTGTTGGTCAATACTACATAATAGCTGGTAAATGGTAGATCCGTCCAGTTATTGTATTGAGATACTTCTGCTTCGTGACCTACCCTGAATTCTAGAAAAATATATTCAGGATGCTAGCTGCATTTTTATACCAAAGATAAAGATCGAGTTTACATAAACAGTATTGCCAACTCACCTGATTCTACCCCTGGGGCGCTCAGATTGCTCTGACATAAAGCTTGTGCTGCTGAGGCGTGAGGCACTGCTGGTTCGGGAAATGGCGGACACATCACTCACATCGCTATCTGATGATTTGGCAGAGACGTTATCACAGCTTCTGTACTGATCTTTATGTATGTTATACTAAAGATTAAAAACAAGAAAGTGTGAGCTCCATCAACATATTGTGAAAGAAAGAGACATAGATGATGAGGTTAATGACTATGTCAGCCGCACCACGAAAAAGTCTACCTTAAAGAAAAAGAAGGCATGGCATCTGAAATAATCCAAACACTAACATAATATATGATTTCCAAGAACAAAAACTTATATCCTTTGAAAGGTAAGAAATGACTTATGGAGACTGAATTATAAACACAAAAATTAAATACTTGAATGGAAAATTCATTGAATTATTTGTACATTCCTAGAACCTCAAAACTGCATTAATTTATTTCCTAGTCACTGGTATCTTTTTTGCTTCTCTTTTTATTATTGCCTTAATCACTTTCTACTCTATTCACGGTGCAGACTGCTTCTATCTGTCCTTAGTTCTTTATTTATTATTTTTTTTAATAATCAATTTACCTACATATTTTCCTTACTTTAAGACATCACACTTTGTCTTTTAAATTTCTTCTAAAAAACATAAATCATCACACAAAGGACTTGTGCGAAAGTTGAGTGGCTGTGCCAAAGCGGAGTAAACAAAAGATGCGCTGGGTGGCTGGATTTCACCTTTCCAGAGTTGTTTCATTAGACATTTTTAGATTTTTAAAGTGTAACTCAGTGTCAAAAGTAAAATTGCGGATTTCTTTTAAAATTTCAGTATATTTTATATTTAAATATATATTTTCTTTTGTCAGTGACATTCATTCTTTAGGATTTTAGGTTTCATGAGGGAAAAGTAAAACATGCCAAGTTCATCTACTCTCCTTTCCACTTCACTATCATTGCAATGGACCACACATTATTTGTGTTATTTTTATAGATGTGCTGTAATTATAATAAATGGTAATTAATTATATACAAATAATAATTAATTATATATCATTAAAACTGCTTAATATTTAAGTGAGTCCCTTATCTTAAGTACTGCAATGTAAGATACTATTAACTTCTTATATAAAACAAAAGAGCACACAACTGTAGACGTAGGTATTTTTCTTACCAAGAAATTTAGAATAGTGAGTAATAAGAGATATGACAATATGGGACCACCAGAAGGCATAATGTTTATATTGCTGGACTCCCACTTAATCAACTGCAGTTCATGTTCTGGACCTGGGGGCTTAACACTTGCCAGGCGCATGTGCGTGCATGCCCAAAATCCCAAGAGAAGAATAGAGTGTAGACTACAGCGTAAAGATAGGGTCTGCAGCATGGCCATCCCCTCCAGGGGCTGATTTCTCACTTTCTATTTCTCTGTCTCTTTCTGACTCTCCAAGGAGTGCAAGTGCCCTATGACAAAAAAGAATCTCTCCAAAAAAAAAAAGATGTGAAAATATCAAATGTCTGTTAAACTCATAGAAAAAGTCATTGATCCTCGATTTTTAATGAATCTGAATAGTCTTGCTAAAATATACTAAGTAACTAAAACCTGGGTGTATATCCACGAAATAAATGTAAGACAATAATATTTTTAAAATAAGCCTAGGGAAGGGGCTCATATTTATTTAAAAACTTCTCAAATGAAAATAGGCCTAAACTACTTAAGTGTTAATTTTAATTCTTTCTTCTCACCTCTAAGTACATGTATAGGTCAAAGAACTTCAGATAAAAATAATTTCCAACTTTTAGATTATCTATAAAATTCTCCTTTGAAAGGATTTTTCATAATTGTGTGATGTATCTTTGAAAGCCTTATGCTAAATTATAATCCAGAAGAGATTCATATATGTTATGTTGAGAAATTAGCTGTTTCTACAAATTCATGTTTGATTTAAAATTAATAGGATTTAAGATAACATTTTAAAAGCAATATGATAATATGGACTACTAGCAAATTCTCTCATATCTGATAGTATAATGCTGACTAATTCATTTCCATCAGAACAATTACTAATTTACAGTGTAGCTGTGATAAAAAATATGTTCACAGACAGAACTTAACACTGTTGCTGGGACAGACACAACTCCTACAGTACTGGTTTGTGAAAGCATTATGGTAAAGGAGTGTGACAGTATTACTGGCTTGTTTTCAAATGTATGAGAATAATAACTTTTTCACGAGAAAATATGAAATAACTCAACCTAATACCCTAAGAATGATCCAGCTGTAGGGGATCTGATAGCCTTAGGCAGACATCCGGAACAAATGCTCCCCTTTTGTGGTAATTGCCAGAACTAAGCAGTGCAGACTACAGCGTAAAGATACATGTGTATACATGAAAATATTTCTCCAACAAAAGAAATCTTCCTTTTTTTTTTTGAGAGGTTTTTGCTATAGGGTGCATGCGTTCGCCAGACACACAGAGAGAGACAGAGAGACAGAAAGTGAGAAATCACTCCCCAGGGGGAATGGCCATCCGCAATCCCCTCTCCTCCATTCTCCTCTCGGGATCTTGGGCACGCACGCACACACACCCAGCGTGAGTCTTAAGCCATCAGGTCCGGGATGCGAACTGCGGTTGACCAAGTGGGAGTCTAGCGACATAGCCATTACGCTAACTGCTGGTCCCAAGAAATCTTCCCTTTTTGTAAGCCATTTCTTCATCAACATTTCTGTATATAGACCTCTGCTATTGTACAAAGAGCCAAAACAAGGGATTAATAACAACTGAGTCATAATACATTTCTCTATATTGGTATAAAGAGCCATCTATCACCCGACAGGTCATCACTATTTTTCTTCACATTGGTTATTTGAAAGAGATAAAAGACTTGACTTTTTATGCCATTTACTGTTTTTCAAAAGTATGATAAAATCTTAGGTTATCACTTTGACTTTTCACATAAAGCATCATTTGTTAGATATCCTAGTCAACCCTTTAATATTCTAACAGAAATACATTAGCTATATTGTATACATAGCTATATATTTTAAACAAATAATCCTAGGGAAGGGGCTCACAATTATTTATTTATTAATTATTGAGGAATGATATTCTCAGGAGGAATTTACATCGATCCCACAGCAAAGAAATAAGCAACTGATGTGAGGAGAGGCTCTAATTATAGGGTTGCTATTTTTATAAGTAAGCATTAATAAACACCTCACAGCTGCCTACAAAACCCATCCTATCCATCATGGCTGCTATTTCTGAGTTACGGAAACATAAGCAATTTTAAATATGTGAATACCTAGATGTGAACTTACTCTCCAATTACGACTTTCATTCCATCATTAAGGCATGCAACTCTGTGGAACGTCAGTGAAAAAAATAGCGCAGTGACAGGTTTTAAGAATACCACAGCGGTTTTATGCTTTCTCATAAACAGTGCCAGTTCCTGACTCAGGATGGATGTAAGGGTTGTTTCACCTTTGAAAACAGGTACCAGGTTTGAATAAGCATCTCAGGAATTATATTCGTCTAATTATATTTTGGCCTGAAAAAATATTTAGCTGGTGTCTGGTTAAAGGCACTTTGAGAATGGTTAATTAATTTTTAACTTGTCGGAATTTTCAATAAGGTGTATTGTTTCATCCAAAATGTCAAATTGACAATGACAATAAAAAAAAAGTCACTAAAAGAACAAACTTCAAAATTTAACCTGTATTAAGGTCATGACAATACTGGCTCACAATTACAGCAATAAAATAAATTTTGTAGGATAAATTGTAAAATACTCGATGTAAAGAATAAAAAATGAAAAAGTTAACTTCTCAAGTACAAGCTTTGAAGCAACTGAAATGGCTACTGAAAACAATGTAAAACTCTAAGGCAAGCCTTAAACCATAATATAAATATTAGAGTTGAGGAGGGTATTCATCTTTTACTTGACATGTAAAACAAAAGAAATAATTATTTAGTTTATTTACATCTTTTCCTGTTTTATATTCTTCCAAGTTTTAAAAGCTACCATTTTTTAACCTCACAATTATTGATGTTATGATTTTATTTAAGTAACATAATGTCAATTTATGCCATAAGAGCAAGAGTAATCTATTTGAAAGTAATGTATTTTTTAAAATAATCAAATGCAATGAATGAGAGAAAAAAGAAAAAGAATGACCATACAAAGAGAAGAGCAAGATAAAACACCCCAATTTAATTTTATGTAAATTGAAAGTCATGTGAGGACTACTGAATAAAGCTGGAGTAATGTGCATTTCAGTGATATAGGAAGCAGAACAACGTGGTATCTAAGTCCCACATCAAGGGTACTAGGCCTCATCACGCCACAGAAAGGCTTTATTTTAGATAAGTCACCTCTTTTCCTATCGGCCTCAGTGTTCATAATTCTGGTAAATAAGTGAGCTAGAGTAGAGGATTATTTTTAGGTGCTTTCATGTTCTGAACTGCTATGAGCCATAGAATTGGAATCTCCCACAAGATAAGCCTAATCTTGATTTACTATTAAGTATTAGTGGTTGTTTCCACTTATAGATCACTTCATTTTATAGATTTTTGTTGTTGTTAATTAATGACTAGAATCCTATCTTGGGATGATCCAGAAAGGCTTTCAATATTTTACCCTGATTCTTTACTTACCACTTTCTTGCTTCCTACACTGGCCCTGCTACCCCACTGTTTCATTTGACCTCATTCTTTGACATAATGCAAAGAAACTGATCAAGTGTTTCTGGCTTTAATGACACATTTCCAGTTTAATGACACATTGAATAACTGTACCCAACTGTGGAGAAAGAAAAGAAATCTAAATTACCTTGCCTTGTAATTCTTACTACATTTGTAGTAAAAGGGGGAAAAAACCCAAAAAACAAAAAAACTAATGATGACATCTATGACTAAGACATACAAGTAGCTGATTAGGGGATGACACCATAAAGAATAAGCTGAAGAGAAGATAGAGCTAGCATCAGTAACTCTGGAACATCAAGATACTTTGCTTATTGATTTTCTTTCTTTCTTTCTTTCTTTCTTTTTCTTTCCTTCTTCCTTTTTCTTTACTGATTTTACTTTTTAAAACATTGTTTCAGACTAAAGGTGTTGGGCATCACTGAATCAGTGACCCTCTGAGTTGGCTCAGTTTAGAAACCCTCCTGCATCTAAGTAGTAGACTGTATTTAACATGCATGATTCCAAGGCAGTCTGCATAGTAAATTATATTTTGCAACCACCTCTAATTTTTGTATTAGTCAATAAATATTTAGCTATACAATGAACTGCCACCATTACTTAAAAATAAGTACTTTTATTAGGTCAATATTTCAAGCTAACAATAATGATTTAGTCTAGTGTTTAATTACTTTTCATTTCTAACAGGTTATTACTTTCCAAAAGGCTACCTGATATCAAATGTAACAAAGGTTGACCTGTAATGGCTGCTGCTGTTTTGTGGTGGTCTAAAAAATATAGGATTTTAGATAAACCAGTTATGTGTAAAGATATTTCATGAAGTATAAAATTTTATGCTATTTTAATTAAAATTACTACATTTAAGTTATTTAGCAGTTTATAAACTCCTTAATACTTCTTGGAAAATAATGTTGAAATATACTGGGTTGTCAAAAAAGTCATGATGTATTTTTTCAAAGAACAACAGAAAAAATATGACATGACTTTTCCAACAGCCCAATATATTATGTTTATGAGTACTTGAAATGGTATGATTTCAGCTTCTAAGAGTTTAAAATTAGTTATTTTTCTTACAGAAGACAGATAATAAGAAATCTTACATGATTTTTACCATTCACTAATAAATCTCAAAAGTCAAATTAACCAAAGATAATATATAAGACTATGAATATATATCTTACTATTTTAAATGCAATATTTAACTGATATTCAAGCTAACAAAATGACTTAAATATCTTGCTTACTTATATGAATTTAACTAATGACAATCGATTATTGACTTTAACATCAAATATTTAAGTATTTTTTTAGAAAAATATTAGATACATGTTAATAAGTAATATTTCAATGAATAACAAAAGGTTAAATTTTTTCTCAGACTTTGGTAGAAATTATAATGCAAGACTATCATTTAATAAAAACTTGACACATATAACTTGGTATTTGCTAATCTTGCCTGGTACAGCACACTATACATTTCTAAGGGAAACTATTGGTTGGATACTACTAATTTTACCTTGGAATATTGCTCGCGATCAAGTTCTTGACTAGAACCAGACCCTGCAGTCTGCTTAAATCGATGCACTTTCATTTTCATCTGTCTTGTTCGCTCCTCCACTACTAAGCTTGCTGCAAAAACACATAATGGAAGCCTATTAAAACACTTGAAGCACTTTTTAGAAACGGAATGGTTTAAGATATTAATGTTTTTGAAATGATTTCAATTAAACAAAATTTAAAATAACACATGACCAATAAATTAAACAAAATGTGGGGTATACGATACTAGCAACTGTTAATCTAAAGATGCACATGATTCAAATTACATAGAATGGGGAATGCAAATGTTAGTAGCAGAAGCTAAGTACCCTACTTCTTCATCTGATGTGAAATATTTCAATTCTCTTCAAAATGGTTATGTGAAATCAACTTTAGTTGTGACAAAGAAAGTTTTATATTTAATCAACTAGTTGCTTCATGTACACATATAGAGAAAACAAAATGCATACTGAACACATTGCACATATATGCACATGCTCACATGTGTGCACACACCCACTTAACACCCTCTGCTAGCACCAGTCATCTAAAATTTGCTTTAATTGCTAAATGTCTACTTTTTTTGAGACAGTCTTATTGAATCTTTAATTTCTACCAGTAGCTTCTCAAGAATATTTGCTGGTCCTAAAAGTGAACTTCCTATGAGAAAAAAATTAGCTTTATTTTTCTTTTTACCCTTGGTTAGAGACACTGGCATGCACTTTAAAAATAAACAAATAACTTCTACTGTGTTCAAATACAGACAAATAGCCAAAGAGATAAAAGTATAAAGTTTGAAATGTATGAGTGTTTTAGTCATACTTTTAGCACCAAATCATGTTTCACTTTCTTTAATTCCAATCAATCAGACAGAAAATCACAATCCCTAACATCACAGTTAAGTGAATTAAGCAATGACAAACACTCGCTTTGAAAACGTTGACTATTTTGGAGATAGTAAGGGTGACTTTTATTACAGGGAGAGGATAGTTCAATGGAGAGCTTAAGTAAAGCAGTTTAAATTTTTTTTTTTTTTTTGGAGAGGTTTTTCGCTATAGGCACATGTGCTTGCCAGACAGACAGAGAGAGACATAGAGACAGAAAGCGAGAAATCACCCCCCCAGGGGGGATGGTCATGCTGCGATCCCTTCTCCTCCATTCTCCTCTCAGGATCTTGGGCGCACACGCACACGCGCCCAGCGTGAGTTTTAAGCCACAGGGTCCAGGACGTGAACCGCGGTCGACTACATGGGAGTCCAGCGACATAGCCATTACGCTAACTGCTGGTTCCCAAAATTTTATTAATTCGTTGACAAAATATAAGGACTCAAAAGAAGTACTACAAAGCAAAATGCTATGTGAGAACAATTAGTAACTGAGGAAAGTTATTGAAAAGCATGTGAGGTTAACAGACAGACATTTACTATATAAAAAATGTACAAGCAGACACTCTCTGCCACCTACATGCGATGCGGATACCTCTGGGCACATGCACAGTAATTTTCTCTAAGCTTTGAGGAAGTCTAAGAGTACACTGTTATCAGGTGTACTCTGTAACTAAAGCTTACAGTAACTGAAAGTAATCATCACTTGTAATAAAACAAGTGAAATGACACTAGCTTCATTATTCTTTGCTAACTGATATTAATATATTTTAAGACATTTTTGAAACTGATTAGCCCACTTGTAACCTTCGCTTCAGTGTCCACTGAGGGTGGACAGTTAGCCTCTGATGCCTGCTTCCAGAGCTAATGGCTTTAAGTGGTCTGAAGCAGTTGCAATGTGTGAACATTGCCAGGATAAGGCTTCACTTCTCTAATAAGATTACTTAGTTACGATATGGTCACATGTAAATCTTTATTGTGCAAAACTGAAATCCTAAGCTGACAGTAGCAAACGAGCTAAAATAAATCAATCATCTTAGGCCTTTCTTATGTTTGATTGATTATTGTGTGTGATACAATATGCTTCTTCATGGCATGTGTACAGTGTGTAATTACTATATTGTGGGTAACACATATTCATCTTCAACACTGAACACTACATTATGTGGTACAAATGTGGTAATGTCAGTTCTATCAGGTTTCTCTTTTGGAATATATTGTTATATTAAATTATAAACTGAATTGTTGCCATTTTTTATGTGGTTGTGGTACACTATTCCACAACCTATGTCACTTAAGTTTAGATGAAATCTTGTGTGTAGTCTTTTTTTGAGATAGGTTTTTGCTACAGGGCACGTGGGCTTGCCAGAGAGACAGACAGACAGAAAGCAAGAAATCACCCCCAGGGGGGTAGCCACACTGTAATCCCTTCTCCTCCATTCTCCTCTCTGGATTTTGGGCATTCATGCACTTGCACCCGCCATGAGTTTTAAGCTGCTGGATCCAGAGCTTGAACCATGGTCGACTACATAGGAGTCCAGTGACATAACCATTATGCTGTCTGCTGGTCCCACAGTCTTGTGTCTGTTCTTAAAATGGCTTTAAATTACTTTACTTTTACCTTCCAAAAATGATTAATACACTAGATTTATTCCTAAAGAAGTTAAAAACTAGCATATTTTAATATGCCAAAGATAAGAAAACTCCCAGTTAATATTATGGTTACATTATGCATGTACCCTCTTGATTCTCCAGCAAAGATGCAGCTGTTATGCTGTCTTCATTGCTTACTCATGGATTCCAAGAAGCAAAATGCAAAGAGCTTGTTATTAACTTATTTATATTAAAAGATCAGATAATTATATAATATCACACCCATTTTTGGTATTATTTCCCAATGACATTTATATGTCAATGCATACTCTAGCCATTCACAGAATTTGTTGTGTTTCAGTAAAAGTACTTCATAATCACAAAAAAACTTTCAGCGTGATGTGGAAATTTATTAAACTTTGCTAAAGATTTGCTTGTTTTGTCTTTATTTTTAACTGTATATTGTGGAATAACATGATATTACTTATGGATTATAGGTATCGAGCTAGATATTAATACAAATTCATGAAGGAAAATAAAATAAATTTCACCCGTTTGAACCTGAAGACATTATTCCATTAGTTTTCAAGACCCATATAGAGAATACATTAACAATTACAAATAAACTGAACTCATGCAATGTCATGATATCTTTCAAGAATTCCACTATGAGTAAAATTAACGAATCCCAGAGAGCTAAGCTATCTTACTCCAAAAAAGATAATTAGTGATCATCGTTTAATATTTTTATATTACTTTAACAATTTAAACCCCAACAGCAAAATAAAAATATGAAGTAATATATTTTCCAATTCTCCCACAAATACTAGTATTAAATTAGGCTGTTTAGGAACAGTCTAAATGTTGGCAGAATTGGAAACTATCAAAATCATTAAAATACCAGTTGCTGTGGAGATATCAAAATATGGGTGGGGGACTGTTTTTAAAAAATTAAATTACTGCTACATACTAGAGTTAAATAATGGTCTTTCATTTTCTATAACAAATATAATTATCATATAATCACATTTACTCTTTTAACAAAAATTTTGTTGATGTTAATATAAAATAAAATCAAAAGAAAGGACATTGGCTGGACTGCATTTCAGCTGCAATTACAGGTAATGTGACAACACTTTAAACAACTTCCCCATTCCCTAACATGTAATTAATACTAAAATTGTATAAGAATATTTTTAGATGGAAAATTTTCACTATAAGCTACAAGCTAAATGATGTGTTTTATGTTGAATAAATTGTGCTTTGTGAAAAGCACAACTTACTGAAAGATATTAATGGAATAAATTTTCATTTTTTTACATGCCAAATTTATTCTACATACATTGCTCTTTCCAGACCCTGATGTTTTATCAAATGAGTCTACATATGAAAAAAAAATTCAACATTAAAATTAAAAAAGTATAAAACTAAATCTGATTTTTAGTAGTTAAATTTAAGCCATTCCTGTGAAATCACTTATTTTCTAAAAAAGTCAACAAGAATTCTGACTGAAGCACACAGGGTAAGACTAATAAATATAATTTGCACAATACCATAATGTAACTTTTAAATGGAAAGTATTAATATTTAAAATACTCAGATTAAAATACTTTTTCTTTTTGTGTAACATGCTCTGCTAAGAATGTTTTGTTGTTGTTGTTTTTGTTTTGCTCTTAAAGTTTTGTCATTGGGCATGTGTGCTCAGAGAGAAAGTGAGAGAGACAGAGAGAGAGAGTGGGAAATTACCCTCGTGGGGATGGCCACTCCACAATCCCTTCTCGTCCATTCTCCTCTTGGGATTTTGGGTGTGCATGTACATGTGCCTGACTGATTTTCAAGCCACCAAGTCCAAGACTTGAACCATGGTGGACATGCAGAAGTAAAACACATTGACTACCATCCCAACAATTCTTAAGAATTCTAAGAATTCTTAATGTGGTGTTATGGATGGTCTTTGATGACTCTACTAACAAGTTGAAATTATTTACAAATTTTGTGTTTGTGCCTATATGCATTTTAACAGATCCAACCCTTTCATAATATCATTAGAAAAGTCTATGACAAAAAACAAAAACAAAACCAATATTCTCTAACCCATATCCAAAAAATTTCTATAATCTCAACACCTTCAAAGAGAACATGATTTTCTGGGAAACTTAGGTGACTTTCCAGACAGTTATAACTTGCCTTAAAATACTGCAATTATTATATGTAATGTAGATTCATTATAATGTAAACAAACATATGTATTTAAAATGTTATTCATACATTTGCATCTGTATAAAAATACATTTTTTCTGATCTCAAAATTATTTAGATCTTTCACATTTCTCTCAATGAATTTAGAAATTAATATGAATTTGAAATTTTAAATATCTGTGTTTAAAGAAAAAATAATCCATTTTTACATATTATTAAACCTATAAATATTTTTCTAAGTGAAATATGACCATAAAATATAATAGAAATGATGTATATTTCAATATTATTAAATATATTAAAGTAAAAATAATATAATCACTTAGGTCTGTCTGATTAACTATGATGTGCTACGATATTTTAACAGGAGGATTAGTGCCTCTGCTTCCTTACCATATAGCAATACAGAGAGTT